GTTTATTCTTCCTGCTGCCACAATTACGACACTATCTCATTATTATGAGATACTATCTCATTATTATGAGATACTATCTCATTATTATGAGATACTATCTCATAATAATGAGACAGCTATCTCATTATTATGAGATACTATCTCATTATTATGAGATACTATCTCATAATAATGAGATAGCTAAGTCATAATTATGAGATACAAGTTTTATCTTTTTATCAGGGTGGCGGAAATGGGCTTCCATAATAATATAATGCACATTGTTTATTTAGTAAATTCTATTAGCTAGTTTAGAGATTTTGATTATTTTTTGTAAAATTTAAAAGAATAATTAAATAAATGTTACTACACAAGTCAGTTGAATCGTCTGGCCTGTCACCTAGGACCAATCTGCCATGCGAGACCCTACCAGGACCAATTGAAATTGCCCCTGACAGCATAGCTCCTGGATCATTCAGGCACACAAACTCTTCCACCACGATAAGGTGATGATTCAACAGAGGAGTCTGTTTGTTTGTTTGTTTGTTTCATTTGTAATTTTTTAAAATTTACACTGCATCTGTGGCCCTTGGTTGCACTTCTTTATTATACCACTGCTGTAAAATGCACAAAATATTTTGCCCTCACACCCTCCCTTCAGCACACACACGTGTTCACCCACAGCACTCCCATGCAGTGCTGCTCATAGTGAACACGCTGTGCGGTCGTAGTTTACAAACTAAAATACTCAGAAGTGTCAGACCTGGACTGAATTATTCTGCACTCATAGCGGAGTATTTCAAACCAAGTTTGTGCTTTGTGAAACCTTYATTTGATTTGGGAATTTTCAATAAAATCACATTTTATGCATCTGGACCACATTAGACCTGTTTTCAGAAATGCAGGCTTGTCAATTTAAACTAGCAGTCAGTCATGTTCCCTYGACCTGACCACACCTCCTCGCTCATCCCCATAGTGTCTCTTGGCACTGCTCACTTTGTTGTCATCAAATTTGCCTGGGGTGGGGTTTTGCTTTGGTGGTTAGTTACACTTTAAGACCTGACCAAAACTTTGTGATTTCTCAGTATAAGATGAGCTTTAAAACTATTATGAACAGCTGTTTAAACCAGAGAGCACAGGTGGGGCTCATAACTCAGTCTGCTCAGAGGTTTGCAAAATGTTMATTTATTGCTTGTTTAAAAAAGTCACCAAAACAAGTCTTTAATTTGAATAATTAAAACTTTGAAGGACTAAGTTCTTCTTTTTGTTCCTTTTCCAAATACAATATTGTAACAATTATTTTGATAAAGAGATRAAGGTCGAACGCCTCTTTGGAAGATGTGAGGAGAAGCTGGCTTAAATGTAATGTAATGTAAGGAACYACTGCAGTGTAGAAAAGGTGGGAGCATGAAGGTGTGTAGAGATAAAAACAAGGTGTGGTTCACCTACAGTGATAATCACTACAWCAGTTCCATGGGGTCAAAATATCAGCTTGTTGTGACGTGTGTGATCCTAACTTCAACAGATTTCTGTGAAGAAATAGTTAAGTTCAATTTCAGCTTTCTCTATTTTCTGTCACATTTTATGACTTCTTCTTAGGAAACCCTTTGGAGAAGAAAAACTACATGTATAATWTATTTGCTCATACAGATCCAGATAGATTCCTCTGATGGAATACACATTGAACACTGCCTTTCATGTCAGAGGTTTAGATGTTCAGTAATAACAAAGTAATAATTGTTTTGGTGAAACTTAGAAAATAATTTTATACACAAACTGTGTGTTACAACACCAAGTTTTGACACAAGTTTAATGAGTTATACCTGTTTTTGTGTTAATAAGTTCAGCCATCTCCAGGGTTGTATAAAGTAACACAAAGTGATACTTGGGTACAAGTATCTTACCATAAAATTACTTWGGTAAAAGTTAAATWCTCTGCTAAGAATATTACTTGAGTAAAAGTCTTAAAGCATTCTTAACCTATGGGCCGTGGCCCAATTGTGGGCCGCGAGCGCCACCTTGAGGGCCTCAAAAGAACAACAGTTTTTAACTTTGGGCCCCAGAGGGCCGCGGGACCGCATTGAAGGTGCAATACACTTTCTCACCACTAGTAGCAGTAATGCGTCACTCAGATGTTTGACAACTTTTTTAATTTGTAGAAGAAGAACCTTAGAAACCTGCTGAGAATGGAAACTTATAATGAAAAGTAGAAGCAAAAATGAAGGCAAACCATCAAAAAAAAAGCCAAAGTTTATCACTAATACGAAGTGCAGCTTTTGGTTTTACCATGCAATTTTTTACAAGTTAAAAAAATTATCGAATACATTTGAAGATACAGGTATAATTTAATTTGCACTTTATCAAATTAATTTTTGTAGTTCATTTTTAAACATTTTGAATGTA